AACGTCCTCAGACATTAGTAAGAAGCCCTGCTGCAATCCCAAAGGTTTACTGTTTGAATCCATCAGGCGCTCTGTGGAAGGATGAGCAACCTCCTCTCATGGCAACTGCCTCTGAAAACCTGTTGGAGAGTCAGCAGGAATTTACTGAATTCCAATTGCAAAGTTTCAACATATGGAGGCAGCACTGCACGTGTTCACTTATCTATGCCAAGCAATGACCAACTAGAAGAAAGCCATGTTTGTGCCCAAGACAGATGAAAAAAGGTGGAACAGACTTCGAAATTCAGTAAGCAAAGGAAACAAGGTACCAGTAGATGGGAAAATGGGGACAAGAAATGAGAAGTGTCGACTAGTTACAAAGAACTTGATGGAATAGAAGTCTTTCCTATTGAGGAGTTTGGGAGAGAAAAACAAGGATAGCAGACTAGTAAGGTGTTTTCTTCTTCATTAAGTATACCTGCCTTCCTTCATTTATGACATGAAAGCATGAATGCAGATCTGAATTGCTTTCTGTATCAGTTAAGTTTCAGTAAAGCAAGAAGAAACCACCATATTTCAACAGAGGAAATTTCATACCAGAAATTTGTTATATGGGTAATAAAAAAATAAATGGAGAATTCAACCAGAGGATATTTAGGCAACATACAGATGAACTACAGAAAGCAATTATGAATGTTCTAATTGAAGGGAAGAGCACTGGTGGCCTAGTGGCAAAAAACAACGTTGCAATCTCAAAAGCATGCAGTTCAAATTCACAAGCCGCTCCACGGGAGAAGGGTGGGCAATCTCCTCCTGTATAATTAATTGCCTCTGTGAAAACCTGCTAGTGGGTCAGCTATGGGTCAGTCAATGGCACATAACATACACACAAAAAGTAAAGGGAAACTGGAAGGACGTGGTATAATTCAAGTCCAGAGGTCATGGTCATCTGGTAGGAGTTAGAACTACAGTGATAACTGTCAAGAGAAGCTGGTGCCACAGAGGAAAAGGGATAATCTGTGGGAGCTGAAGTGTCAGTGTAGATGCAACCACTTTCAAGGTACCATTTGAAGAAGAAAGCTAGAGCAAGAGCAACTCTGCCTTCCGCCTGTTTTTCATCCTTCATTTCAAAAAAGTACACCAGAAACCAGAGCTCAAAAGTGACAAATATGATTCTCTCTAAGTTAAAGCAAGGAAAGAGTTAAGAATGCATCTGGGGGGTGGGAGCAGGGGGAAGAGACAAACGAAGAAGTTTGTCTTTAGCTTTTGAATGAGAGGAATGAACTGGGGGGGGAGAGTGGTAGAGAAAAAAGTGCAACAATGAATGAATGGAAATCCAAAATCTCTGTAAATGTTCATTAAAATTAATAAAAAATTTGCAAAGAGGCAAGTAACTACCACATGTTTTGATTGTCTAGCAATCATATTTTTATTGTCTTTGAATTAATTTCTGTGTGAGATGTGACCATGAGGCTTTCAGCCCTTTATGTTGGTTACACATAATCCAATACAAAGAATATCCGAGTTTAGCACCTTTCCTTAAATACTTCCGAAGGCCTAGTGGTAAGAAGTCAAACAGTATGAATCCTCGGTAGAAAGATGTGCAAACTCCTCCTGAAAATTCACATAAGGTTAACTATGAGTAAGTTCCAACTGGACACAACCCACAATGACAACTAAAATGCAGTATTACTACATTAATTGTCATCATTTTGGGAGGCTGACCCAAGAGATTCGTAGAAGGCAGCCAAAAGACTTTATGCTTCTTATCTCCTCTTTTGCTTCCTTCTGATCCTTCAACTTCTTTTTTTTCACTGCCCTATAAGTTCTATCTGCTGTAAAGTCACCCTTCTGTAATTATTCTCAGTTTTCAACGACCAGGTCATTATGCAAAATTGAGGATTACTGCATCAGATCACAACATTGTGAATTTTCTATACTATCACATAACTACCAAATTACATCATTACATAACTGCTAAATCACTTATAATCATGGCCCAGCCAAGTTGATGCAGAACCATAACCATTATAAGTCACCATTGCTCTCACCTGCATTCATTAACAAGCAAAAGAATAAATTTTTCTCTCTTGTTATTAATGTGAAACATTATTAATGAGATAGTAAAAAAATGAGGTGTAAATGTAGTCAGCACTGATCAAATTTAGGGACTTTTGTTCTTTAGTGTCCTGAAGACTGAGTTGTTGCTGTGTGCCTGCCATCAAGTCGACTGCAACTCATAGTAACCCTAATAGCAGGAATTACAACCCTTCCCTATCCTGTGCCACCCTCACCATGTCTGATGTATTTGAGACTATTGCAAGTCATCAAGTCAATTCATCTTGTTGAGAATCTTCCTCTCTTGCACTGATCCTCCACCTTTACCAAGTGTTAAATTTTTCGTCAAGCACTGGCCCTTCTTAACAACAGCCGTAACATATGTCAGACGAAGTTTCGCCATCCTTGCTTCCAAGAAGCACTCTGTTTTCAAAACAAGCTTGCTTATTCTCTTGGCAGTCCATGGGATATTTAGTATTCTTGTCCTACACCATAACTCAAACTCAACACAACACCACAACTCATCTTTAGTCATTGTCCAACTATTAGATGCATAGCTGGTAATTGAAAATACTATGGCTTGAATTAGGCTCTCCTTAGTTCTTACATTGTCATCATTGCTCTTTAGTACTTTGGAGCGATCCCTGACAACAAATTTTCCCAAAGCAATATGTCTTTTTTATTTCTTTTTTTCAAAATCCCTAAAATCCCTTTTGTTCAAAATCCCTAGCTCTAAGAGAGATATAAATCAAAACAACTATGAGATATCATCTTATCCCAGTAATAATAGCAAAATTCAACAGAGCAGCAAACATGAAATGCTGGTGAGGTTGTGGAGGACTCCTGATATCAAGGGCATTGATTATGGGTCCAAGAAAAATGAAATTGTTGACATTGCAATCTTTTCTCCATCTATAATGATGTTGCTCATTAGCCTTGTGGTGAGGATTTTTGTTTTCTTGATGTTGAGATGTAATCTATATTGATCTTCTGCAGCAAGTGCTTCAAGTCTTCTTCAGTTTTTATTGAACAAGCTTGTTTCATGTGCATAGTACCAGTTGTTTATGAGTCTTCCTCTGATCCTCACGCCACATTCTTCATAATATCTAGCTTCTTGAATGATTTGTTCAGCATATGGATTGAACAGTTAGGGAGAAAGGATATATCCCTGATGCACACTTTTCTTGATTTTAAGCCATGCAGTGCTTCCTTGTTCCATTCAGAAAACAGCTTCTTGGTCTAGGTATATATTTCGTATGAGCACAATTAAGTGTTCTGGAGTTCCCATTCTTAATGTTAACCATAATTTGTTGTGATCCATGCAGTCAAATGCTTTTGCATAGTCAATAAAACACAGATAGATGTCTCTCTGATACTATTTGCTTCCAGCCAAGGCCTATCTAACATCAGCATCATGAAAAAGGAGAGTGATACAGGTGGCATCTACCACCACAAAAATATCTTTGTTGTGACCGTATTTAGACTGTTGTGTACTGTACAGCCAGAACCGATCCATAGATGAACATCCGGTAGGTTTTCAGAGGCAGCTCTGAAAATGGAGGAGATTTCCATCCTTCTCCCGTGGAGCAGCTGATGGCCTTGAACCAAGTGCCTTCAGGATTGCAGCACAGATTTTTGCCACTAAGTCACCAGATGGACACCCCTCCCCCTTATTCAGTCTACAGGATATAATATCTGCCTGGGAACACTGTAATAGTGTGAACATTTTAGTATATTTGTTATATTTTTTAAATTTTCAATACTTGCACATGAAAGATCCCTGGTAGCATAACGTGTTGAGTTGCTCTAACCGAAAGTGAACAGTTGGAATGTATTAACTGTTCCAGAGGAGAAAGATTTACAGTCTCCTCCCACAGATTTACAGCCTCAAAAATCTAATGTAGGGTCACTAGTTTCACAGCAACCACAAGTTACCTCTGTACAGCAAGTGGATGTATCAGGGCTATACGACCTAGAAGAATGGCCAAAAACAATTAAAGGCAGGTCTGAGGGCCACGGAGTAGAGTCACTCACCTTTGGCTTGGGAGCATGGCTTTCAATGTGCATGTACACACATTTATTTATTGCTTCCAACACTGTGTCACTCACTCACTCATGACTCACAGCTAACACTCCAGTGAGTTTTCAGAACCTGTAAATCACACGGGAGGACATTGGTTATCTTTCTCCTGTGAGAACATTCTATGACATATAATAAATTTTAAAAAATGCAGACATTCTCTCTGCTATTCAGTTCTAACTCATATTAACCTTCCAACAGGTTCCAAAGACTATGAATTCCAACTAGAGGAAAGTATCAATCTTTTTCCCTCAGAACAACTGATAGAATTATGACAGTTTGTGGCATGTTAAAAACTAATATAGAATATAAAATAATATTGTTTTGTGATAGGGTGTTTTCAAACTATTAGAATAGTCCAGACTTTGAGTTAACAGAATAAGTTGCTATGGACCATGCCATATATAAATATCAATTATCAGCATTGCCATTTTCCCCCCAACAAAACTAACTATAAATGCTGCTCCAGTCGATGAAAACATATCAAATTCTCTTCATGGGTTTTACTCAACACCCAGTAATGGCTAGTTGGAGTGATTACTCTAAATCAGTTATAAATATACAAAATGCATCCTATAAATTTTTTCTTCCTTTAATCTCTCAGTTGTAGAAATTGATTGCTTTTTTAAAAATTGGTTTCCTCCCCCACCTCTTTCATGCTTAGTTGTGATTGGATCATGACAGACCCATTTTCTGTAGCTTTTGTGGGTCAAAGATTTAAATTTGTTATAGAAACAAACTTCTTGGTTGGCCAATGATTAGCTAATTTCAGATTATAGAAAAGGAAACAGATTGCCTTGAGGCGGCTGTTTTCATTTCCTCAAGAGAAGAAGCAGCACAGCAGAGAAGAGAAGCAGACACAACGCTTTGAACCTCTGCCACAATGGGGAACTGGGCTGTAAATGAGGGACTATCCATTTTTGTCATTGTAAGTACCAATAAGGGATAATTATGACTTCTGTGACTGCTTTTGAGTCTTTTGGGGAAGCGAATTCAAAAGAAAGCCTGGTTTGTCACATTGATTTGAAAAATCATCATAGTTAAATGGATTTGCTTTGTGAACATATCTGTAAGGGGCTGAGTCCACTTCTAAATTTCTTAATGGAAAGAATGTACTTAGGGAGCTCACTTTTCCTAATTTATTTCTTGAGTTCCCAGGAGTATTAAATCAGTCAAAATACCACAACAGGAGTAGACAAATTTCATACTAATGACTTCTGCTACTGGGTTCTTTGTTAATTATTAGAGGGAGACAAAGTCATTCCTTTTAAGTGGTATATACTGCTTAAACAATGCCCAATTGAATTGATAGACTAGTTTCCAAAGAAGAAGCATGGAAAAGAAGCATTTCTTTGGTGGGAAATATATAGCCATTATTTCAGTAACTACACCAAATTTAATTTAAATTCTCAACTTTGATTTTTCCAAAAAGCACTTTGTTTTCTCTGAGGTCTTAAATTATTTGAGAGGTTTATGAAAATCCAAGGAAAAAGAATTTAAACTATCTAAATTATAAATTGAGTCCAGAATGAAGGTTACATAATGGAGTGTACTGGGGGTGGGGGTGGTGTGTGTAGGGGGAATTGTATACCAATGAAAGAATTTTTCTTTTACTTTTCAAGGAGAAGAGCGAACTGGGGGGGGGAGGGGTGGGTAGGGAGAAAAATGCAACAATGAATGAATGGAAATCCAAAATCTCTGTAAACATTCATTAAAATGAATAAAATTTTAAAAAGTCAAAAAATTATTTTTATAAGAAAAAGCCAAATAGATATGATTTTTGGTACTATTTTAACATAAAAAAGCTAGTGATGTTAGCAAATCAATTATAAACAAATTATAAAAATAAAAATTTTGTGTCTATTAACAACCTTTCTGAACAGACAAGGGAAACATAAAACAGATGTTTAAAAGAACACTTACAAATTGAACTGTTTAGAGAGTTTATTATGTAATCTTTGAGTTTTAGAAATATAAAATGCACAAATAAGATTAAAAAATATACTTGTCACTTTTTAAAAAGCATGCTTTATGCCAAACCGACACTTTAATCTACTGTCAATTATTTCAAAGGACTTAGAACTACGATTGTGTTATTTTAGTCAACATTTGCAGAGGACATAACTTCTGTAGCAAACAAATTCAAAATATAATTTTAGCTTCCACCACGATTTTCCACAGGAAGTGATCTTCTGGATTATATCCTCATAGACTTAAAAGTGAATGTAGCTTGGAAAGCAAGAGTTAAGAATTGCAAAGTCAGGAAATGGAGAAGTTCAATACCCTCTTTATAAAGAGAGAAAGATTTCTTAGCCTCTATGGGTCTTTAATAGCTTCAAAATCTCGCAAGTCAAGGTATAGAAGATAGAGATCTAACTGGGACTACCACTTGATGGAGCCTGTGCTTGGAAGGAAAAGAACAGTTGCTCTCTAGATGCTCTCTCATTTTTTTTTAAATTTCATTGCTCTCACACCCTCCTCCAAAATGCTAAGCAAATATGCTCCGCATCCCCTCATCCAAAAGCTAAGCCAAGAGATTGAGACTTGATGCTTCAGTTGAGGAGATCTGTTAAGATGAGGTGTTATATGGTGGACAGAGATTGTAATTTGTGAGAGCAAAGTACAATGCTTTATTAGTGTAGGGTTGAGGAACAGTACTATATTCCATATATATATATATGTATATATATATATGAACATCTGCTATCTATCTATCTATCTATCTATCTAAGATTAAGAAGGAAAGAGGAGAAAGAGAGACAGGGAGATCGATTAAAAACAGCTTAAAAAAATAAAAACAACTTGATACTTTGGTCAAGAAGTGAAACAATCCTGAGAGGTAAGATAGTGTGAGAAGATTGATTACAAGGAAATGAAGTGACATGTGGTAGACAAATGCTAGCTGTAAACTGTTTATTACCAGCTTTTTAACCATCTTTATCCACAGCTTGGGTCCAATTTACCTGTTGTTTTTGTTGTTGATTGCCATCCAGTCAAGCATGACTCATAGCTTCCCTGTGAACAAAAGACCTGAAGCCTTTCTATAACTATCATCGTTTCATAGTTTCCAGAGACATGCTGTTTAGGAAGTGGAAAGTTCACTCAACCGTTTCTTTTTATGCAGCTAGTATGGCTGGGGATGAACGTGTTCCTCTTTGTCTGGTACTACCGGGTTTATGATCTTCCAGATAAATTCTTTTACACTCGAAAACTTCTTGGGGTGAGTATAAGGGCCATTTCCTCATTGGGCATTCTTGTTCCTATTTCCTTCACATTTTAAGTAAATATGCTGACCAATAAGTATTCAACACCATTAGCTTCACATCTTTGATTGCACCTTCCTGGGCAAGATTCTTTTAAAACCTTCCAGTGTGGAAAAAATGAAAGTGGAGCAAAGATCCCAGCAGCATCCCTTTCCTGCCATTGACAAGGTGCTTTGGTTTTAATTAAAGGAGAACACTAGTACTGACTCTTAGCTGGAAAGCAAGTTGTAAAAATCAATTCAGGTGTGATGCATGTGGAGCAAAAGGGACTTTCCATATTTCTCTACATCATTCAGTTCCCTATGACATGTCATGAAATGGTCTTCAGAAAATCTGTTTCTCCCTACAAAGGCAGCTTTTGAGGAACTTTCTGAAGGCCCTGTCTGTTGAATAGACTATCTGACTGGAGCCCCATACTCCCCTGAGTTTATTTAGTTAATTAGTATTCTCCGTTTCTTTGAACTGCCAAACCTCTTCTTCATCACAAATGAAAAGATCCCTAATAGCTGCCAACCCCAGAGAGTATTATGTTTTACATCATCCTGAAGCTGTGAGTTAATTAATATTAATCATAATGTGCATTACAAATTGTATGTTACATCTGTTGTTATGTGCTGTCAAGCTGGAACCAACTCTTAGCTGACTCTCCAGGAGATTTTCAGAGGCTGTAAATCACATAGGAGATGATTGCCCATCTTTTTCCTGGGGAGCAATGGGTGGATTCGAATCACTAGCCTTTAGGTTGACAATGCAACTTGTTAAACAGTAGGCCAGCAGAGCTCCTGTATTAATTTGTGTAGGTAAGTAATCATAACATATAGTTAGATTGCCTTATTAAGTTGTTAACATATTTATATTGCTTCTGAGAAGAATGATTTTCCTTTGTTTCCCCTTTCCAAAAGATTGCATTTCAAAAGAGTAATTACTCAGGCATTACAAATAACTCAAACACCAAAGTAATAAAGCATACTGACTTTAGTACTGCTAAACTTAGACTAAGTTGTAAGAAAACCTTTGGTAGAATCTTAAAAATTCCTAGTTATAATACTGAGCTCTATTTCATGATATGAGTGGTCAAATATTTAGGGGAATATGAACAAATGTGATTTATTTTGAAATTGATCTCTTCACCAAATAAGGTGATTTGAATAAAATAAAGATGACTTGATAGATAGAGGAATGAATAGGTGGATAGATACAGGCAAAAGGAAGCATAGTGAAAGATTGCTCAGGAAAAAAAAATAGTGGTGAAGAGAAACTTTTCCCTTGGGCAAACCTTTGGGTGGGTACTGTTCATTTTATATGGTAGGAAAGGAAGAATGTGTATCACAAATAAGCTATTTCATGTCACCAGGATTGAAAAGTTGGTGAAGTAAAGGTGTAGGGAACTGGGTGAACAAATACTCATTATGAAATTCCTAAAACTTCCTTATATTTTAAAAAATTTTAATAATAAAATATTTACACTATTGAAAAGGGCCAGTTTGTCTTCAAAACAAAAATTCTCAGTAAGACCTATAGGAAAACTCCTTGTCCCTGATGTGCTTGTGTAAAGCTCATGATGGGAAGACTGGGGAGGTTGGGGATGCATTCTGTGCTCCTGGAAGTCACCCTGCAGCATATTCTGCTTCTCCTAGTCTGCATTGGCATTGGCCAGGGCCCCTGCAGCCTGCTTGAATTTCAACTGCATGCTGATCCTGCTGCCAGTTTGTCGAAATCTGCTCTCCTTCCTCAGAGGCTCCAGTGCGGTAAGAGTTCCTCATATTTTCAAAGACTGCCAAATCAATGACTTTTCTTAGGAACAGTCAACCAATAAACTATTTTAAAAAATATTTCAGCTTCTGTACACTATGCATGAGCTACACTATGCCTGACTATTTTATTTCTGTATTATTTGTGGAGAAAGTTCCCTGGGAGAGAAATGTTAAAAACATAAACATAAACACATACAGTCACACACACACACACACACACACACACACACACACACACACACACAGAGTTGGATTTCCATTCATTCATTGTTGCATGTTTTCCTCCCTGTCCCGCCTCCCCCACTTTTTGTCTTTGGAAAAAAAAGTTCTTCCATTGTTATACAGTCCCCTCTCCTCCTCCCAGACCACTTTGCTATACAACTCTTATTCTGGACTCTTGTCATGCCAATAATACCTAATCATATATTCCTTTTATATAGTTCTCTCCCTCATCTGTTTCAATGCTGTGTACATTATTTATCCCCTCTTTTCTGTTTTCCTCAACCCCATATCAGTTCTGTTTTATAACAGTGGCATTATGC